AGGAACCAGGATTCAAACTTGGGACTTCATTGCTCTAGAGCCCAAGCTTTTTCCTCTAAAAGTAAAGAAACTTAGGTGAATTTAACCACCTAAACAGCATCTGTATGTTCTTGCTCTTCAGACACTAGCAAAATTGATAAGAAACTTGCAACAGTTTTGTTCACTCTCTCTACTATCCATTTGAAACAAATTGCACCTAAAATAATAGAATTTAGGATTCTCCAAGTAAATGCCTGGCAGCTCATGTCCAGATCACCCATGCAAAAGTGTATGTGTGTTTAGTTTGTGGGTTTCTGTGGATGTGTGTGTGTGTCCGTGCACACACATGTATGCATGCATGCAAGTTCTGCATGTGTCATGTGTGTGCATCCAGGTTTTGTGGGACCTGACGTTTATAATTTACAAAGTAGTTCTAGGGCTTCTCCCAGGGGACTATACAGATGAAGGCCCCTGAAACTCATGAATTTCATGGCAAATCCACCTCTGCACGTGCATGTGTGTGCATGAACTATGTACGTATGCGTGCAGATATATGGGGGAGCCAACAAAGGCCAGACGCACCCTTTACGGATAGTACTAGTTATTTCTTTTCTGGGAAGACAAAGAAGATTTATGAGGAATTGAACGGGCCAAATACTTTCTGAAAAGTGCGATTTGAATTCCAGCCAATGATCATTAGCTAAGTTAGAGACACAGTGCTATGGTTCATGCTCTTCTTTTCAGCAAGCAAATAAATATAACATTTTAAAACATCTTCTTTATTCCGGAGATCTTTTTGCTAATGCTACTTTTAAGATATGACCTCCTGCCTATTTAAAGATTTTAAGAATGTACCAAGAGAACAGGCTGGGTGTTGGAGAAATTAGGATACATTTGAGATGGAAGAGGGTAGGAGGCCATCTTTATGTATTTAGAAAACTCTTGTAGACAGGACACGTGTCCTGTGATTCTCCAGAAGCCAAAACTAAGGAACGAAGTATATGAGATGGCAGGAGAGACCAGATTCCAACTCAACAGAACTTTCTATCAACTAGAGCTGTACAAAAATGGTTTGCTTATGTTGTGGCCAGCTGCCCATCCCTGGAAGTACTCCACCAAAGCTACCTCTTGGCAGAGGAAGAGGAAGCGGGGGACTTTTACTGAACACAAGTTTGAGCTGATATAAGAAGCCTCTAGAATCCTCTCTAGGTCTAAGATTCCAAGCTGTTATCAGGCATACACTATTACTGCCAATCATACACACACAGAGCATGCACAGTAAGTGGGTTTTCCCCCCACAGTGGTGACGAGTTTGTGCTAAGCCAGCCACATTCCTCCACTGAGCCTCTGGTTGCTGAGGAAACATGTCTGTGAATGGACGGATCTAGCTATGGCCATGCTCCACAACCTTGGAATTAAGATTTTCCTGGCCTGGAACCTGGGACCTTGGGCCTTTGCTCCCACCCATTAGCCAGCTGTCGCAGGTGGTGCTTATAAATGTTATCTTACTAGTTCTCACAACAGGCCTACGGTTTAGGTAAGGAACGGGCAGAGTTCCACTTGCTTTGCACCTCCCCCTGCTTTCTCCTGCACACTCAGAGACGAGCCTTCTCTGCCTGGCACCCTTTACCAGCTTTGGGATGAGAGGCGGAAGACAGCCAGCACCGAAGACCTGGGGAAGTACGATGCGGAGCACATGCCAGCCCCACTCTGGACTTAGCCCACCAAGCCAGGGCGAGGTGTCCGGAGAGGCCGAGAAAGTGTGAATGGCTTCAGTTAACCTTTGCCATTTGTGGAGGTAGAACAGAGTGCTGACCATGACGCAGACACTCCTCCTTTGTTCTATATGTGAGCCCTCCATAGGGACCTGTAGGTCTGTCCTAAACCACTTTAATAATAGCAATGATAATAGTAATACTGGTAGTGGTGGTGACAGGTGGTCATAGCCAACAGCTAGTGTTGGCTGAGTTATTATGGTTTGCCTGATGCTGTGATGAGTTCATGACAGGAAGTACCTCATCGACTCCTCGCAATAATCCTATGAGGTAGATGCTGTTAACAAGCCATTGTTTAGAGGAGAGAACTGAGGCCTCGAGGTGTTAAAATGCACGCCTAAGACACCTGTCTGACTCCAGAGCGCAGACGCTTCCCATTCCACTTTTTTGCCTCACTTTCTGAGGCAGAAAAAGAAAGTGACCTGCCCGCTCTCCAACCCCATCTTTAGCCACCACACTTTGGAGCTTCTCTAGCCTCAGGAGAGACCTCTAGGAAGAGGTTAGGGTGTCACAGGGCACCAGACCCTGCTCGAAGGTGCTTCACGACATTTCCCTCATTTAACCCTCACAGCAAAAAGAGGTGGAAGATGATAGTGTTTTTGCAGAAAAATTCAGGGACTTGCTCAAGGTCACTTGGACAGACAAGCTGGCACTCCAGACTGAGGAGCCCCCATCTGCAGTGTATGCCTTCCCACCACGTCAGCCTGCCTCTCTAAATGAACAAAGTTGAACACCCTCACAGTCACTAAATTTATATCTCCTGGTCTCCCCTTCCAAAATGGATACACTAATTACTGACCTTTTTTTTAGTAGTAGTAATCATCAGAAACACATTTTCCAGTGTTTTCATTTTCTCTTCTGCATACTATAGAAATAAAGCATTGCTCAAACCTACGGGATAAAACGCAATGAGTGTGAGGCCATGTAAATTAAGTTCAGGAAGACATTACACTAAACCAAAACAAAGTGTTGATTAGGGACTTATTTTTGTAAGCAATTAAAAATATGAACCATTAGGGCCAACCGAGTGGTGCATTGGTTAGGAGTTGGCTTGGGACACCAGCTCTGAGTAGCAGGGCCCTGGTTCGAATCCCACATGAGGGCCAGTGACACTGCGCCCTCTGCAGCTAAGATGGTGATCAACAGCTCGACCTGGAGCTGGGCTGCCGTGAGTCGCCAGCGACAGCATAGGCTGCAGTGGGGCTGGCCGGCAGCGGGCTGCCATAAAGCTGCCGTGAGCGGCCGTCCAATGGTCGGCGACCAATTTGCCTCAGCTGGGAAGAGCGCAATGATAACACCAACATGGGCCAGTGAAGTGGCGTCCTCCACAACTAGACTGAAGAACAAAAGGACAGCAACTTGTCTGTCCCCCTTCCCCGGTTCCCCAACACTGTGCCCCTCTCCCAATTCCCCAATAAAATCTTTATTAAAAAAAAAAGCCATTAAAATAGGACTGTATTTCAGGCTCTGTATCTGCATCTCATCAGAAACATTTACCATGACCGACTGCTAGCTTTGGATTCCTAAGTCTTCCAAAGTCTTCCCAGCACGTGGAATCCAAACCTAGTTCCCAAAACGCAATTGTGTATGCCACAGTTCTACTTTATACGGAGCATTTTTTAAAGTCTGATTTAGAATACCTCTGCATCTTGCCCAATTTCATTAAAAGGAAATACCCAAGTGACATGGTGTCTTCAGCTCCTTTAAAGTGTTTTGCTTTACTCAGTCATAGTAGTAAATAGTGACAGTAAGTTATATTAATATCAACCAAAATTCAAAGGCAGAGGAAAGAACAAAGTCAAAGCGAAGACACAAGGGACCTCAGGAATCCCTTAGAATAGAATATTATGGAGCTTTATTTGGTACAAATATAAATGGAAAAGGAGTAGAGGTTCGCAGAAAGCAATTAACATGGAGCGTTTCTCAGGTCCAAGCTGACTGTAAAAGAAAAAAATAATTTAGCAATATCTACAGCCCAAACTATGCAGTTAAATTAAGTTGTTAATTAAATTTTTAACTGCTAAAATTAGAGCTAAAACCCATTGTTTGCTACGATTGTTAACTTCATATCTGTATGTGGAAGGGTGTGGGGAGACAGTCAGAAGGCTGTAGTATTTTAAAGATTAATTGTCCACCCCTAAGAGGTTTTGAGGCACCCACCTGCATTTTAAACTTGGATCTAAGCCAAGAGGTGGGACAGGACCATGACAGGTTTTGGGGTTTTTTGGCTAATTATCTACTCAGTGGACACTTCAAATACCAAATGTATCAGAACAGAGTGCCCAGCTCAGACCAGCCCTACTATCCTCTGCAAAGAGCTGACACATATAGATTTTCTGGAGATTGTGGAACCTTGGAGCAGTGCCTGTGTTGTATTTTTAAAGGAGGGAAGCATCCCACAATGTGCCAGTTCCCTATAAGGTATCTTCAGGAGTTAGCACCTCTGACTGGACTAGCGAATTTTTTTTCATATTTATTCTCTTCCTTTCTAGGATATGGGTGGGTAGAAAAGCATGTTGTTTGGTTCCGGTTGTTTTGTTTTTCTGTTGTAAAGATTCCTATGGAAAATCCATGCGTTGTCATCAGAACATTAAAAATGTTCCTACTTAATGACTTCATGATTCTTTGAATAACCTGAAATGCAGGCAAAGACCTATGTGAAAGGATACTTTTCACAACAATAATAGCAATAAATTGGGACAGTTTACATTTTAAATAAAGCCTGGTACATCCCCTGTGAGGCATTGTCACTATGCTGCTACTAGAACAGTTCAGTAATGTGGAAGGAAAAAGAGAGACACTAAAAGCTATGATAAGCCTGGTCCTAATTATGTAACTATAGATAGGATGAACAGGGCTCCTTTCTCTTGTGATAGGATGATAGCTGATTTTTGTTTTCTTCCTGGTTTTCGGCATTTTAAAAACTTTTTGTATATTACTTTCATAATCAAAAAGTTCGATTAAGGAAAGATCACATGGCTCTGACCGTCTGGGTTCCCCGTGGCACCTCTCGTCCCCTATAAGCTCTAGGAGAGTAGCTGGCATGCCCATCTTGCTCACATGACACTGTGTCCTTAGCCAGTGCCGCGCATCAAGTTGAGGCGCAGTAAATAGTTGAATAAGTAAATGTCTATTATGTTGCTTTGTACACTGAAACTAATTGGGGAGAAAAAAAAAGATTCTTAAAAAAAAAAAAAGTTGAATAAAATGTTCTAGTTTCTCTATTTCTTTCCTTTTTCCTTCCAGGTGATGTGCTCTATGAACTCCTTCAGCATATTCTGAAGCAGCGGAAACCTCGGATTCTTTTTTCACCGTTCTTCCACCCTGGAAACTCTGTCCACACACAGCCGGAAGTCATACTGCATCAGAACCACGAAGAAGGTACCCAGGGAGGCTTTTCTTTCCTGGCCTGAGACTGAGACCTATCCAAGAGGCTTCACTGTTAATTTGATAAGTGGTTCTCCTTCATGTGATTCATTTTTCGCTCGACAAATCGTTGAGTGCTTATTAATACCATGTTCCCCCATGTATAAGACGCTCCCATGTATAAGACACACCTTAATTTGGGGGCCCGAAATTTGAAAAAAATGTATTACATAAAGTTATTGAACTCAAGTTTACTCATCATAAAATTCATACAACTCCTCATCACTTGCAGGACATGCAAGTAAAAAAATCTACAACCACTGTATAAGACGCACCCAGTTTTTAGACCCCAAATTTTTCGAAAAAGGGTACGTCTTATACATGGGGAAATACGGTAAATGTGAGATCCTGGGGGAGATGCCAAGATGAATAAGAAATACTCTTAGTTCTCTATGACTCTCAATCTAGGTGAAGAAATGAGATAGATAAGTGTCAAAGCATAACTGTCACAGGAGGCACAATGAAGAGGTAGTGGGAGGGGAATGACATCAGGTACAGGCAGCAGGGCCAGCTTCAGGAGCCAGGTGGCTCTGGGCGATTCCTTGATGGTCCAGCAGGATTTTGATCAGCAGGGGTGAAATGGAGAACATTCCAGACACAGGGAATGACATAGGCTGAGGGAGTAAATCCTGGGACAGAGAGCAGTCAGATGACTTGGGTTGTAGAGTTTTATCTTTTTTGTTTTTTTTCTCCAGTCCGTTGTTATGAAAAATGTCAAACATATCCCAAAGAGAGAGAATGGACTAAATGCACTTCTGTGAGCCATCATCCGGCTTCAGCAATGGTCATCATTGTGCCTTTGCAGAGCTAGTCCCAGGAGGTTAGATTGGAACCCGCGTGTGCAGGACAGTAATGGGGAGTCACTAGAGAGTTGGGAACCGCAGGTAGTAAAAGCCAGGGGAAGAAAACTACCCAAACCCTGTGAACTCTGTTCCTCTTAATGCACCAAAGGCGGTTTCTCGGTGTTCGTAGTGTCACTGCTTATTTCTGCTGTCCCAGGGGCTGCTCTTCTCCCGTGAGGTGCAGTCGTCATAAAACCATCGGTAGAAAACAGAACAAAAGACCAGAATTGAATTGTGGCCCTGGACATAGTTCCAAAGCAAGTGTATGGGTACAGAAATAGGGTGTAAAACCTGACCCTGTGCCCCGTCCCATTGAATAGTGATGGGTAGCACCTCTGCTGAGCGTTCAGCCCGTATGCTCCTGCCAAGATTGCTTAGAAAACAGACGTGAGGACTCGAAGTAATACTTCTAAGCCTGTGCTTTTTCTTAGGGCCAGATTGCTAGGGGCCTAAACCCTGGTCCCTTGGGGTATTTCCTTAAATTGATAGATTTGCACCCCTCCCCACCCCACCCCCAAGAGCAGGGCTAATATTTTTGTTTTGTTGTTGGCAAGTTTAGAAAAATGGGAAGTTATTTGTTTTCTTAATTAACACGTCACAAAAGAGAGCCTGACTCCAGGCGATGGCATCTCTTTCTCGTGCCAAGTGTTTCACAGCAGGTCCCTTCGCTTCCGCTTCCGTGATGGCGAATAAGCGAGCGTTGCTTGCCTCCTCCCTGCCTGTTTCTCTCATCCTTTCCTCCTTTAGCTTTACCCTTGCTAAATTTAGCAGCTGCCCCCCCATCCCAATTCAGTTTCTTCTGGGTTTTTGGTTTTTTTTTCTCTTCCTGCGGGTATATTTCCAGCTTGCATAATAGCCAGCAGCTCCTCCAGGGAAGAGGAGGTGGGTTTACTGAAGCTTGACTTGAAGGCAAGAATCATATTACCTTTAAGGCAGGAATCATATTACGTTGCCTTCCTCTTCAGATACAAAAGGTGTGTGATGGTTATGTTTTCTGTTTTTCGCTTTCTCTCTTTTTCTCATTATTTAAAAAAAAAAAATACCATTTAGAATTTCTGTCCCCCCTTTATTCCCACATGTGATTGGAGGCTGATGGTCTCACCTCATCACAGATCCTTCCTCCTTGCCTCATTCCTCATGTGACTCATATGTAGGTGTGTTTGTTGTTGTTCTCATTTGCAGGAGCTAATCAATAGAGAAAGCTGGCTTACTCTCAGAGCGACTCTCACACCCAGTAAATACAGATGCGCCACAGCCTACGCGGTAATGAGTTATGCTCTCAAGTGTTATGATGTTGGTGAGCTCAGTAGGTCAAACAATGGAGCTAATGAGGTCAAGGTCAGGGCTGCATCGCCCTGTGAACCAGTTAGCTCTGCTTCAGACCCAGCGCTTCAAAGTACTGTGTTCTCAGAGACCATTTCTTAAAGCTGTCAGCCAGGAAACAGGATCTGAGAGTACGTGCCCTCTCCTTCGCCCGTTCAGACATGGGGCGTGCTCTCAGATGATCAGGTAGACACACAAGAAGGGAAGTGTAGGTCTTGATCAATCCGTAGCAAATAAGAGCTGTGGAAGGTGCAGAGGTGACACGAAGAGGCTGCTTGCCCCCAGACATCCAGATACATAGGTGCCTTTGGTGACAAAGGCACTGACTAGAGGTGAATGGACCAGTACAGTTTCCCTACCTCCAGCCACCTCCCACCTCTTGCCCTTTTTCTCCAACAAGAAAAAATATCACCATGAATTGTCTCTAGAATCAGTACTGTCTCAATACTGTTTTATTTACTTGTGATGGTAATGCATTAATGTGGGCCTATGTTAACATACAGAAAGATCTGGTCCTGGAAAAAAAAGAGTCTGTAACGTGAAATTATACATATTAAATATTATATCCCCAATGATTTACTGCACATAATTGGGGATACGGTACCATGTAATAGTATGTTGCTGTTGACTTGGCACCGAGAGAAATGTGACAGAACGGAAAGAGAACAGAGGCATTTCAGTCAGGGCCTGACTCAGCCCCGAGGGAGGCTGGCACGGCGAGGCCTGCAGCGTGAAGTGCAAACAGAGCTTCATTCAGCCCCCCTGTGACTTCACCTCATCCCTGCCACCGACGTAACCGATTCAGACATTCATAATCTTACAATGGGAATTTATATCACAATACAAATGTACCTTGTTTGAGCTAGCGACAGTTCCCTGCGAATGTCTCACATGAGTACATGACATTGGAACCCCACCTTCCTCCCTGCAGCCACCTGGCAGTGCCAGAAGCTAGGAAGTCACGGTTAACGCAGAGGCCCCCCTCCAGGCTCTGACAGGAGAGGAAGGGCATCGTACTAATTGAAACCCTTTATTTTGTAAACACGCCTTATCTCCCTAATGTACACTATTCTGAAATCGCATCATGCCTTCTGCAAAGCAGTTCTCAGACTACCACCTAGGTGTGGGAGAACCAGCATTTCCACTCTCTTTCCTTATTTCCTTATGGGAAGAGAGTGCAATATTATATATAAGTAAGGTAGCTTTATAATTTTTCGTTCATACTGAGACATTTATGACAATGAACTGGGACTCTAATAAGGAAGCTAGGACAATAGGCACGAACCAGAACCATCCCTGACAAATGGGACACATGGTCAGCTTAGATAAACATTTTTAAAGAATGGGATGGAAGTCAGGAATTCAGGCTCTCGCCCTCCGTTCTTCCAGGACAGCCGTGAGGGCTGCTTCTCATCTCTCTGGCCTTCAGCCTCCCATTTGTAAGATAGGGGATTAGAATAAATGGTCTCAGATCTTACAGCTCTCAAAACCTAACCTTCTATCCAAGATCTGAGCCTTCCTGCGTGATATGAAGATGATTATAAGACACATTCTCTACCTTCAGGGTCATGGGCAACTAAAATCCAGAAAATCCTAGCAGTGTCCTGCCTGGTGTTGCTCAGAGACAGTGGAATGTCTCTTCTGTTCTCGTTTGTCACCTTATCAAGAACTACTGGTAATATTACCCCCCTTAGTAGTCAAACCAGGGGTCATGTCATTCACTTGTTTCACAATGAAAATCTCACTTTAAATAGATTCCTTTTTTTTTTTCATTGTGCGACCCATTTTATCTGCTTAATATGAATTAGTTAGCTAGTCATGAAGGAAGGAAACAAAATAAACAATGATACAACTTTTTCACCAAAACCAGGAGGCAAAGCATCTTTGAGAAATTTTAGATTTTAAATTTTAAATTTTAGTAAATGATATTAAAATAAATGTGTTCTGTCCCACACGGTTGTAATATCAACTTCTTTTGAAACCTTAGGTTCCAAAATCAGTGACTTTGAGCTCCCATGGGATACTTAAAAGAAAAGGGTTTGTCCCAAAGTATATATTCAATTGCCACTGGTCCTTTGGTGTTAGAACGACTTCAATAGTGATTCCCTAAAATCTCATTAAGTGATACAAAGATGCTTTTGGTCTGGGCTAGTCTCCGAATGGCAGTTACCCCTGAACACGCACGAGTCTCTAGGGCAGCGGTTCTCAACCTTCCTAATGCCGCGACCCCTTAATACAGTTCCTCATGTTGTGGTGACCCCCAACCATAAAATTATTTTTGTTGCTACTCTATAATTGTAATTTTGCTACTGTTATGAATCGTAATGTAAATATCTTTTTGTTTTCCAATGGTCTTAGGCGATCCCTTTGAAAGGGTCGTTCGACCCCCAAAGGGGTCGCGGCCCACAGGTTGAGAACCGCTGCTCTAGGGGGAAGGGACAAGACCTGTGTGTCTTAAATGTTCTTACCCCATGACCCCTTTGAGGGTCCCTCTTAGGGTTTCAGCTATTCAGTCCCACCCTCTCCTATGCCCCATCTAAGAGACTGGGAGGGGGTGTTTCATCACTTTAATTTGAAAACATTTACACATGCAGTGCTGTGATTGCTTCGGCAGCAGTGGACACAGTTTTAAGGTGAAAGCTCTGCTCTGTCACCAGGTGGACATGGAAGTCGGTAGCGATGATGAAAAATCTCAAGTGTCAAAATGGTGTTCTCAGTTCTCCTTGCAACCAACTCAGGGTAATGGTCCAGAGAATAGGGAGACATCATGTCTTTGTGTGGGGGTGGGGA